CGTGTAGGTCACTTTGTTGGTTTGCGTAATGTTTTTTTTTCCCCCTCTCTATATCTTAAGATCATACCATTTTATATTGACGTGACCATATTATTTAGTCTTTCATGAACATGTGTTGTGTTATAACAAATCCGTCGCTTTACAAAGATGATGTTGTTTTACTTCTCAAAAAAAGAAAAGAAAAAAAAAATGGTGTTGTTTTATAACATATTGTCCTTATAAAATTGTCGCATATCTAATGTTGTCGTTCTATGCATATTTCTTAATTAGCTGTCGTCTAGATTTATTTTTGGTTTTTGGTCGTTGCCGTTGTTAAATAAAATAATATACATACATATATATATATATATATACATACATATATATATATATATATAAGATGATATCGTCTTTAGGACTGCCTAGTTACGATGCTATCGTTTTATGAAGATAATGTCGTTTTCTGACATTCTTGTTTTATTATTTTTTTTCCATTGTCGTTTAAACATTTTCGTGATATCCGAAGCTGTTTCGCTCAGATGATGTGTGATACTCTGTATCTCTCACTCACTCACACACACACACACACACAAAGGAGAGAATCTGGAAATCAGAAAAATAATCCTATTTGGATCATTTTAACTCTCGGCAATTTCGTAATTTTAGAATAAACGAATGATTCTTTTATTTTCTACAGACGAGGACAAGGATAGATAAACGACACCTCTAAATACATGCTAGAAGATTGTTATCCCCTTGGTTATTAAGGTAAGAATCCCTAGCGCTATTGAACTTTCATGAAAATTGGGAAGTTTGACACATTTTGAGGTTAAGATTTGATAAATTCCAAATTTATTTTGAAGAGTTTAAGTTATAATATTCATAATAAAGGACTTTTTATTGTCTAAAGATTTATTAAAGACTTAGTTTTTAAAAAAAAGATTTATTAAGGCCAATTTTACAGAATTTAGACGAGTAGCTATAGATGACGAGTTATGTTCTGAAAGTTTTGGACAAAGATAATCAAATAGTTGAACTTCGATGGTATGATGGATGGTCATTGCATTAGTGCTACTCGAAGAAAGGAAATGCAGCCACAGAGAAATTGACTCACTGAGAAAGAAAAGAGTGAATATGAGGGACTAATAAGATAATTCTCTTACCTGATGTAGGCTTAGCCTATCCACCTTTAATATTGGAAGTCTTGAGATACAATAAAAAGAAATAAATCAAATTTATTATGAAAGTTGGTGTCCCTAACATTAATATTAGAGACAGACTCGGTGCGATGAAAATAAAAAAGTTCTGAGAATGATATGGGCATTTGAAAAATAAAAAAGTTGAATATCCATTCCAAATGAGTGTATAATATGGGCATTTGAGGAAATAAAATAAAGTCCAATGAAGCCGAGTGGCGAATATCAAATCCCTAATTGATTAAGCTCATAGAGTCTAGTTAGTGATTAAATCTCTTTGTTTTACTTCCAAGAAATTGAGAAAGCAATAGCCCAACTAGCTGGTGGCTAGATGGTAATATCTTGAGTTCGAAGGTACATGTTTGTAAACTGGATTCAGATACCCTCCCTCAACCACCAATAACAAAAAAAAAAAGGCCCCTGGAAAGCAACATTTAGGTTTTAGATTCAGATGTCCTGCCACATAGCTAAAAGGGTTTTGAAATGTGGACCAAACAGACGTAAATTAAATTAAGTTATGCAACTAATGAGATAAATGCCGTTTAAAACTCTACAGAGCCACAGACAACAGAGTATACATTTATTTAACAAGCAGAGCAGTGCATAGATCGCCAGGAAATTCAATGTGTCACTTAAAAGCAAAGATTTCTCCTCAATACTTATCTGTTCTAGATTTGTGACGTGCCTAAGAGCAGCAATCGATAAAATCAGAAGACAAATACATCAGATGGGCACCCCTAATGAAACAGGCAAGAAAACATTATTGTTTTTTCAATCCAAATCAAGGAATATAATTCTTGTACTACATTAAGGATTCTCATCTCTGAAGCAGCAAAATAGAATCAGGTAAAATGTTTTCTTTAATTTCCTCTTTTGAACATTCATCTTCTAATTACTTTTACAAGCATGATCGGTCCAACATAGATTTACGGCTGCATTGGTAACAGCAGGACCTGGACATATGGTTCTAAATATTTTACAAAAACAGAAAAGGGGAACCATGTGCTATGCTAGTGTATCAGTTTGGTCGGTGCATACCGTGTCATCACTGCAGCAAGTATCCAGATCTCTTTAGTCGAGTAGTTCAGCCAAAGTCCAAATCATTCTTGTCACTCTATAGGCCAGATATATGACTCTGCTTAATCCCCCATCTTCAATTCCTACTAAAAGATCGTGGCTTCTTCCATCTTCAAGTGAAAACTAACTCAATTTGCACAAGAATCACATCCTAAAAAAAAATTCTTGAAAATTTGTTATTTGCACTGTCTCGGTCGAAACTTCTCCTGTGATAACAGATAGCTAGTTAAAGTTTCCAGCCTTTTAGCACCAAGGCCGGGCCTGAGGATTGTGGTATCACCAGTAACAGAGCATGGATCGCTGCCGTTTTCCTTGCTTCCTATGCACCAACCACCAGGAACAACCAAGCCAGGACCGCGAGACAAGAGCACAGAATCAATTTCGTCAAGCACTGGCTCATCTCTGCGGAACTTCCTTGCAAAAGGAGCATTACTGTCAATCATCCTCTTCATGTCAGCATGGTTGAGGTGGTGAGGATGTTGCTTGGGAGGATTGTCCCAAGATATGAAGTGGAGATCGCTATTCACAGTTGTATTGCGAAAATCTTGAGCATTACAAATCACAGTATGGAAGTATCCTTCTGGGGATGATATAAAATTTGCATAGTACATGAGAACTGTTCGAGGTAGGTTGTCCCATCCCCATATGCAGTAATCAATGAAAGGCCTAGAAAGTGCCATCCAAGCCGAACCTATAACATAAAGCAAAAATCAGTCCCTTTATCAATAGTCTTGAACACTGAACAAGAACTTGCAATGAGGTCAAACTCTGTGAATACCATTTTACAATATCCAACACAAATGGCACACATTTAACCATTTTTTTACCTAGCTAATTTCACTGATCATGGAATATTCTTATTGTAATGTGAATATGATATTTGAACAAAACCATGAACATTCAACAAATGAATGCAGTAAGGAACTCAAGATCCACTCAAGCTATATCTCCAAGAACAAGAGCTATTTCACTGGAGTAGACCAAGTATATGTTTAGCAAAAATGAATAAATAATAAAGGCAAACTTGAATACTCATGAATATCATAATTGCAAAAGTACTAGGAACTCTTAACCAAGTAAATGTTTTCCTTTTCCCTGTATATACTTCCCCAACCCCAGTCAAAAGGAAAATACAATCTATCTCAATAAGTAACTTTCGGAAAAATGGATCTATCACTCACTATAATTTTCTACAAGTAAATTGCACATTAGGTAATACACATATGGTGCAGCATCTTATTGACCCCACAAATCAATTTAAACTATGGCAGGTCGAGAGGCATAAACAAACATATTTCAGATACTAAAAAATAGAGTTTAGAATTTCTTGTTTTTTTTTTAAAAAACGTTATGTAGAGTTTGGTAGTTTTCCAGAAACCATTTCAGTAAATTCCCCTCATTTCACTGTTATTTAGTTAGTTTCCACTATGGTGGTGTTTTTGCTTCTCCCCTCATTTCACTGTTATTTAGTTAGTTTCCACTATGGTGTTTTTGCTTCTCTATAAATAGGGCCTAGTGATTGAATTTTCAATACACACTTGATCAATGACATCGATTATTCAGAATTCCTCGCCTGTTCTCTTCCTTCTGAATTCTAAATTTTCTTTCTCTTCCCCTCTTTACTTCTCTTCCTTTATCTCTTTATCTCTCTCTTACTCTCTCTACATCCTTGATGTGTTTGTCTGGCATCAAGTAGTTTTGATGAAAACAAGCAGGTCCAGAGCTGTGAGTCAATCTTTGAAAATCTAAGCTGTTACACATTATTGGCATCAAAAACAACCATTTACCTACAACCTAGAATGTGATATCCAGAAATATGCTTTTTTCATTTTTCCCACAATGGTTCCATCCAACGTATTCACACAGGAACTTTTGGAAAGTCTTCTAAAAATTCATTCTTGAAGTTGAACGGTTACTAGGAATCAATAAATGGCGTTTTATATGTCATTTAAAATCGGAAACAGAACACTGGAACGAGAATCTTCTCAAAACTACTGGTCCCCTAAAAATTTATGCTCAAAAAGTTTCTATTCTAGAAAAACAAGCAGAGCCAGAATATTTAGTCCCTCCTGCAATCATATGATATTCAGAGAAAGCTGCCCGGCCTTTCATAAATTGATTATTAAAAGAAACACATTTTCCCAATTCTTAATCCATACCTCCATCTAATTGTCATCACATGTTCTTAAAAGATAAAACAGCGACCACACACTTCTAAACTTTATTTTGATTTTCAATATCATTATTGACAGACTTAAGGAGAACATGATGCATTTGGATGCAAACCATAAATTATTTCTTCTTTTGATAACATTTTCTAGTGTTAATGAATATAGTACCAAGGTTTATCAACTGGCACCTGAAGACAGTATAACAATCTGCTGAAATTCCATGATCTCAATGAAAAAAAAAATAATAATAATAATAAATAAAAAGTTGAACATCAAAGTAGAAAGGACAATGATTTCTACTCTAACAAGACATAAGGTGCACCTACGAAAGTTTAATAGAATCAGTTATCTGCACCCGACTGGAAAAATGTTAAAGCGGCAAAAACAACAGATATCAATATGTTGTATGTTGATCACCTAAAAATGGAAACTTGACTTAGAAACATAAACCCAACACGAAAAACAACACTGTCTCTTATGTTAACCAAAATGAAAAATAAAGATGATAACAAGTATATAATAACCTGTAAAAAGCTTGAATGCAGTTGGTACACTTCTCCGTTGTGTAACCCAGAAAACATCCTCTTTCTTTGTCATATACAACCCAGGATCTACAATTATTGGCTTTGCTCTTTGATACCTGAAAATATATAGTGTCGCAGACTCAATAAAACAAATTTACCCACCAAAAATATAAGGCAAGAAACGAAAAAGATCTGAATTTCTTTCTTTCTTTCTTTTCAGCACATACTCTTTCCACCCAATGTTACTGGTATGATCGATGAAATTAAGATCCCGTGGCAAGTACGAAAACGTGTGTAGCAGATCTGATTAAAAGAAAAAACAAAAAACATAAGATTAATCACGAGAATAAGAAGAAGAAGAAAATTCCCAAATTTCGAATCGAGAACTATGGAAGACAAGAGACCCACCGTCCTGAGTAACAAGAGGATAATCAGAGGCGCTGAGGTTGATAAACCAATCCCAATCGCCTCCTTCCTTCAAGAGAATCGCGGCGGCGTGGAGCGTGTTGGCGACCATGGTCGGTCCTCGGTAGGTCACGAGATTGGCCTTTGTGATCATCCTCACATTGCCGAACTTGGCGTAGGTCGGGTGATCCTTCACGTAATTCTGCAGATCCAGCCTCTCCTCCGGCGGCGACTCGAGGTCAAGGTGGACGACGTAGCAGTTCCTCGGGTGGTAGAGGGCTTCGAGCGTCCGCTTCAGCATATTGCCGTCGCCATTGGAGCCGGAGATGAGGTAGGCGAAGCGCGGAGGCGGAGGAAGGTTCGAGACCGGGACCGGATGGAGCTTGGATTCGACGAAGACGGAGTTCGACGCCGTCAAGGAGCGGTAGAAGGGAAGCAGAGGCGTCCCGTCCGACGAGGTTAACGTCGTCAGAAACAAGAGGAAGAGAGATACGATCGAGCCTATCGCCAGAGGGAAGATCCACTTCCTTTCCGCCCCACCATGATGGTTCCTCAGATGCATGTAATAGCTCTTCAGCTTCTTCATCTTCTTCTTCTTCTCCTCCAAATCACGCCCAACTGATTCGCATAAAGTTTCTCGGAGCTTCTTCCTAAGAACGGAAAGTGAAGGAAAATGAGGGAAAATCGAACGATAAATTTTTTTTTCCTTTTCTTTTTTCGTTAAGCTGGGTAATGAACCAATGGGTATTGTATCTTCACCTGAGAGGGCGTCTGATTGTGAAAGTGGGATTGGAAAATGATTTGGAAGCTCTTATATAAAATTGTTTCATTTTCCCCGTTTCTTAAGTTTTTAATTTTTAATTTTTTGTATTTTGTAATTTTCTTTTTTTTTTTTATTTTGCCGTAATTTAGACGGGACCACTTTGAGACCGGTAATTATACACTATTACCAATTAATGAATTTAAGCTCAAAACTGTTTAATTCAACTCCAAGTAATTTAATTCAACTACGTAATTAACCAATTAGAGGGCAAAGACTATGGTTCTTTTTTTAAATGAATTAGATTGTTCATGCCTAACATGCATTGACTTCAAAAGTGGAATTCTCTCATCAGGCTACAGATTTTTTTTTTTTTTTTTTTAGTTGCTAAGAAGAGATTTGACGAATAAGTTTTATTTAACTGTGCAATTTCAGCACAGGGAAATATTTATTAGGTCCAACTAAATGGGAATTCTTTCCGGAAAAAGAATAAATAAAACAAAAGTCACTTTCAAAAAAAAAAAAAAAAAGAAAAACAAAAGTGGATGTGAAGAGAGGGAAGAGATAGTGATCAAAGTAATTTGATCTTTAATTTAGCATAGCATAAATGTGTACTTTACGGTCCTTTTAATGCGGTTGCGTTCAATTACTTCCAAATCTTATTATTTTGTATTGGTTTTCTTTGTTTTACTCTGACGTAATAATTTTGGGCAATATTGAAATCAATAGTGATATATATAAAACAAACATGAATCAAGTGGTTCATTTTTTTTTCTTAAAAAAATAAGGTATATTTCTTGGACAGGAAAATTCATACTTCCATAATGTGTTCTCACGCACTTATCTATTGTGATTATAGATCCTTAAACCTTTGACTAGTCCAACAAAAAAGAAGGAAAAAAAAAAAAATAGCCAGAGTGAGAGGAATGATCTAATCTATTTCGGAGAAAATTAAGGCAATATTATTTAGGAAGCAAGAAGAGCATGGCTCGCAAACCTAGAGATTATATGCCAAAAAACCTCTTTAATATGCTCCTTATACTCATTCTCATTCAGTGCATCGTATCTTAATCTTATAAGTGTTTTATTTATTTATTTATTTATTTTGTAGTTTGAACCGGCATAAAATAAGGATGCAAGGCACGTTGACCCCTATAATCTGCTTATCTAAATAATTAAAAATAGTGGTCTTGTAGCAAAAAAGGAATTACTAGTCAACACAATACGTAATTTTGTACCTGTATTTGTACCAAAGGAAGGAACAAATCTTAAGGAGGAAAAAAGAAAAAAATATAAGGCATGGAAAGACTTGCCAAGCGTGGACCCAAAACATTAGAAGTGCCATCGCTCACCTGCTAAACTGCCTACCTAACTTATCTAGTAAATGATATCTAAATCTCAGCCACCCATTAGCTTTACTATGTTTAATTGCTTCTACCTATCTGAAAGAAAATTCTAATCCATCCTTAATCAGTCGGCTACCACTGAAGTTAACCAGTGTCTGGTAACAATGATAATTATGGAACGACACAAGGAGCCATTTCCATTTTACATGCCGTTTTTAGCATTCCAAAGTCAAGAATGTGCGACAGACATATATATGGCATAGAGCCTAGAACAAGGACTTGAAAAGGGCAATCCATTTATTGATCATAGGACGCCTGTTGATTTAATTCCATCGTATAGGAAGATGGGATCACAGCATAGCACGATTAAATTAACTCAAGAGCGGTGGGGTGACAGGTGACTCTTGTGGCACTATCTTACCATAAATGATGGAAGATAAGCTGATAAGCGTTAAAGGTTTGCCAAGCAAGCATGCAACAAAGGCTTGAGATTTTTTTTTTGCTAGGCTATATGAAAAAGATACTTAATTGTTAAGATACTTAGGCCCCTTCATTTTACCGATTCGAGTTTTACTACAGTAAAAAACTCTCAGAAACAGTCACATCTAACTTTTTTGCTACAGTAAAAAAACTCTCACATAAAGTCACATCTCAACTCGAATAAGCAAACTAAACGGGCCCTTAATTGTTAGGTTATGTTTTCAACAGTCAAATCTGATCGTATAATTTATAATTTAGAGATTATTTTAATTAAATCTGACATTCAGAGACATATATTATGCTAGGATATGACCATTATGGTCAGCTCTTTTCCTATTTTCTATTTTTTTTTTACTTTTTTTTTTAAGAACTAATTACCTATGAGGGAACTGTTTGAGGGGTGGTTCAGCAAAATGGACATATAACAAAGAAAAGGCATCCATGACCATTGTTTTGTACATATTTGCAATGCGGGCATGGATGTTGGTGTACCTGAAATGCCAAGCAAAGTATCAGTCAAAACCTGTATGCAATAAAGTATAAACGAATAAGTTACAATCCTTAAAGAAAATGTTTTTAAATGTATCGTTAAGATGGGATTGCAGAAAATCCACGCTCTTTTACGATTAAGAAGAGATTAACCGTATAGGCTTAACCAGAAAAAATCTTTTGGTCAAAATAAGCTTTTTTTCAGGATAGTCAAGTCAGTTTGGTTGTTAGTTAGTTAAAGAGATTAGTGAGCCGTATCTAAGACGGTGTAAATTCATATCTAATTCATTCATATATAACTTATTTTCTCTTTGTTTTCAAATTCTTTTCCTTCTGAATTTTTTTCTTCAGATTTTATAATAGGATGGCGCCACGAGCACTAACTTCAGTAGTTTGAAATTTTCCCACAAGAAATCTTTGTTTTTCTTTTTTAAAAGATGTGCTCTTTTTAATGAACATAAATAACATAAATAGCCTAGCAGAAAAAAAGAAAAAAAGGCCATGAAAATGTTTTTATTTCATTTGTTTCTTTCTGTTTGAGGTTGAGGGGCCATGGGATTTATTTGAATTTCTTCTAGTACTCAACTCATTTCCATTCATTTGAGATGTCTTTCTCAAAAACATAAATGCAGGTTGAAGAATAGAAAGGCACTGGATTTAAGAATATGTAACAAAAACATATCTATGGCAGAATATATTCACAGATTAATCAGCAAAATGAGTAGCTTACAATAGTTTGAAAAAATGTATAGGACATAACCAGTTATCAACTTCTTAAGGTATTCGCGATTTCAAAATTCCTCTGTCATTCATCCTGTTCATGATTCGCGATGCGTCGTTAAGTTTATTTGCTCTTTCATAGATGCCGGCAACAACAAGATGTAACTCCTTGTTAATGTTAGGATCAGACTCCAATCTCTCAAACAGTTCCTCTACCATCTTGAAATCCTTTCGCGCACCATAGAGACTGATCATCTGAAAGTGAACTTCATCCGAGAAAACACACCCTTCTTCCTGCATCTCTTTATATACAGCATCTGCCTTCTCGAAATCTCGCAACTTGCCATACGCATTCAGGACTAATGCAATCACATTGGAATCGGGAAAATACCCGACACCTCTCATCTTGTCAAAAACCTCAGTGAGATTTGCGTACTTCTTGTTCTTTGAGAAAAGCTCTATCATGCAGCTAAAGACAGATATATCTTTTATCTCCCCAGCATCGCTAGCCTGACGGAAAACCCACGTAGCCTCTTCCAGGCGACCAGCTCCTGCGAGAATGGTTATTGCAGTCTCCCTAGGAATGTTGTCTGGACGCTTGAGCTCGTGAAGTAAGCGCTTAGCATGAGCAACCAAGCCTGCTTTCTCATAAGCCACAATCATTGTCTGATAAAGAACCTGATCAATCTCAACCCCTGAGCTCCTCAACTTTTGAAACAGAATTGCCGCCCTGTCCAATTTCCCCGCCTTACCCCATATAGATATTATTGTCGAGTACGTAATGGCATTCGGTTCGATCCCTCTCTTCTGCATTTCTTGCACGAGATTCGTAGCTTTTTCATGCTCAAGAGATTTACCATAAATCTTAATCATAGTGTTGTATGTGACAACATTCTGCTCAATATCCTTCCTTTGCATCAAGCGGAAAAGATGGATGGCTTCCCCGAAAAGCTCAGCCTCACCATACACCCTTAAAAGGGTATTATAACTCACAACATTAGGTTCAATTCCCATCTTCCTCATGCTCCAAAACAACCGATCAGCTTCCTTAGCCATATCAAGCTGCCCATAAACATCAATCATAATGTTGCAAGTCGTGAGATCAAGACGGCATCTGACCTCATTCATCTCGGAAAACACGGATAACGCCTCGATAAACTTTTGATTCTCAACATACATAGTCAATAGAGTCGAATAGCTAACCGTATCCGGCAAGACGCCTGCAGCCCTCATCTCCGTTATCAGAAGACGAGCCTCTCGAAAAAGCTTAGCTTTCCCAAACACATTAATCATCGAATTGTAAGCGACAAGGTCCGGTGTAATACCCGACCACTTCAATCTCGAAAAGATGGAGATTGCCTTGGAGTAATCACACAACTTTCGAGAAAGCTCAATCAAATTACTATACAAAACAAGATCACCGGACACCCGGTCCTGCTCCATTTTCTGTAACCAAGAAAGCGCGGCATCGAACATGCCCTCTTTCCCAAAATAAGTGATGAGCGTGGAATAAGTATACCTATCAGGAGCCAAAGCTCTCTGGCGCATTTCATCAAACAGGCCGTGCGCAACTTGCCACTGCTTCGCGCGAAGCACGTTTCGCAAAGCGACGTTGTAAGCGAAGACCGAGGGAGTGTAGAGAGCCTGTTCATTAATCCAGTCGAGAATGGCGAGCGAGCGTTGCCAGTCGGTCTCGCGAGATAGCACCAAAACCATGAACTTTATAGAGAGCTGTCGGCCTTTGTACGGCGAGAGTACGGAAAAGAGCTCTTGCTCGTTCTGGGTCTGCCATATCGACCTCAGAAGCTCGTCCATGTCCACGCTGTGATCCAAGTAGGCCGGTTCTCGTGGGTGACGACGGTGGAGAAGTTGGCCGGACGGCGTCGTTTCGTGGGGTGATGGTGATGATGATGTTCTTCTCCAGACATCTTTGGACTTTGAATAGGCCAATACGAGGATGGGCTTTGTCCTGTTCTTCTTCTTCTTCTTGGACTTGAAGATGAAAGGTAATGTGGTGTGATTGTTGGAATTGATGATGTGGGGCAATGGTGGAAGCGAGAAGAAGGAAGATGGAGATGTGCAGCCGAGTTGTATGGAAGTAGAAAGCGAGAAAACACGCATTTTTTTTTTTTTTTTTTTTGAGAGAGTGCTTTGATTTTGTTGGCTTGAATTACGGAATTATTATTAAAACGATTTTATATACTCTGTTTTAAAATATTTTTTTATTTTTTAAAACGGTTCAAAACGCTTCTTAATTTATAAAAAAACGGATCAATTTACCCTTTTTCATCCACTTACATTTATGATATCTGACATGCTATTAGAATTTAATCAAAGATGTCAAACTCTAATTATTTCTATAATAAAAGATTAAATATTAAAAATAATAAAGAAGAAATAAAAAAAAATGGCAATTAAAAAACAACTGTAAATCCCCTAATCATCGTCCTCAACCTCAAGACTTTAACAAGAAACCTGCAAATCCAATGGCAGAAAAGTTCTCTTTAACTATGGAACGCACGCCCACCAAAAACAATGATTCAAAAACAAAACGCCTTCACTAGTTCACTTATTCAAACAAACTATAAAAGAATCGATAGAAACACCTCTTATTCACTTGAATCCATGACCCAAAACCTCAATATTCACAATCTTCAAAACTCCATCTCTGTTGACTATTCGTTCAAATTTATCAGTACAAAATTCATATTCGACAATGGGAATAAGATGGCTCATCGCGAATCTGGTCGCAACTCCGTGGCACAAAGTCTATCGCTAGCTTCCTCAACCGCGCCAAGCCTGGTCGTGAGAACTCTCCTACGCGTCGCCACATCAATGAGATTCGAATCCGTACCTTCGGCGGGGGGCTTCGCCGATCTGGGCTTCATATGAGTGGCTGTGCGAAGCTTGACTATAAGAAGAGGAGGGAAAAATTTGAAAATTTTATATCTGATTTATCTTTGTAAGCTGAAAGAAACATAGGATTTATGATGAGAATTTTGGTGAAAATGGAACATAGAAAGAGCAGTGCTCTGGTTCAGTGATGAGAATAGCTGATGTTCTTGTTTCCCCTTTTGTTTTTTTGTTGTTTTTTTTTTTTTTTTTTGAAAAATGTTAAGGGCTTTTTTATTTCTTTTTCATTGTTTTTTAATATTTAATGTTTAATTAACATTTTAGTGTTTTAATATTAGTGCCATGTCAGCAATTTTGTTAAGATTACCGGCGGAGTTAAACGAAAAAAGCAAATTGATATATTTTCTATATATCACGTGTGTTAATCGTTTTAAAAAATTAGAAGCATTTTAAAATATAGTATATAGTACTGAGTACTTATGAAAATAATCTAAAAAAAATGAAAGCTTTTCTTCACGTGGCTAATAATTATTGGACACAAAACGCGATAGGTGGTTTGACGTTTAGGTCTCATTCATTTCACCGATTTAAATTTAAAATTTGAGTTTTGTTATAGTAAAAAACTCTAAAAAATAATCACATTTAATTTTTTTGTTACAGTAAAAATTTCTCATATAAAGTCACATCTCAACTCAAATTAAGAGCTTGAATCGGTTATATTTGTTTTGTATGTTGATGGAAAGCGAGGGAAGCATAAACTACACGTCGCTCTTAAAGGAAGAATTGGAAAATATTTTACAATATGAAAGAAACGACAAGACAAGACGACACGTCGTTTGTATGACATCTTTCGATGTAGTTCATCTCTTTGTTAGTTTTGTCTCATATTGTCATTTGTCATGTTAATTGCTCGATTATCGTCACTCTTTGTTCAGACCAATGCTATTTCGTTTTGCCGCCCGAACGTCTTTCCCACAATGATTAGCCAGGTTGGCTGTTATCCTATCCCGTCCTTTTAATACTATTTATCTTTGTATAGTGGCATTGTCGTATGTAGTTGTTGAATTCAATTTCCTTTTAATATTATATTTGCGCAATGCGCATGAAATTTTACCACTCGTTCTTCTTAGGACCCCACTCAGCAGGCTTCTATTGACAATTTAATTCTTGCACACAAAAATGTTGAAAGTGGAACCCCGACGGTACCTTTAGTCGACTAATGTGATTGCAGCGTTATCCCTTGCCGTCAGCAAAGCAGGTGCTAATGTCAAGAAAATCCCTCTCTAGTATGTCTTTTTAACCATCCAACAAATTACAGTTCGTCAAGTATAGCCGCCCAATATTATTTTCCTTTTGAATTTATGTCAAGTTTTTCTTGCCGGAATATAAGACCATGTGTGCTATCAATGTTTTAGCGCCTGAGGCGGCGCGCTTCAGGGTAATACTATATATATATAT